CCACTGGCGCTACATTCAAACTTCCTCTAATATATGTAATCTTAACTTTATCCATTCTTGTCACACCACATTTCCATCTCAAATAGTATTACAGAAGTTAAAACCTTTAATAGTGTCCTAATTTATCGCATTACATCCTTATTCTGGTTTCAATCGATATCGTGGATAGCGATAGTCCTCTAAAACAAAAGACGTACGCTTATTGTCAACTTATTGCAACAGATATTAAGTCTGTATTAAATGGTGCTGTTTAATTAAATTTTTTTTATATAACATTAGGTAGCAAACGAGCATCCGGCCACCTCAATCCGCCAAAATGTCGAAGCGACCGCTGCCCATAGACATCAGCAATCGCAGATGCGTTGCCTACCTTTATCTGACGGAGGAGGAGGCGCACATAAAGAGGACACTTCCCCTTCCTATGCATCTTCTCTACCGTCAAATCCACACACTTCTTCACAAGTCATAGACAAGAATTTCTAAATTTGTCACAACAATAGAGGAATTTCAATGATTAATTCCAAGGATTGACATATTTGTATATACAAGTGTTGTATGCGATATGTTTTGCCGGATGGTATTAGTATGTGAGAAGTATTTCGTTCACTGACCAAAAAGGCAAAGGCAATATGGCGGCTATGGCATTATTATTAAATGATACTGTGCTTTAGGGTTGCCACTTTCAAAATTCTAAACATTTATACCTATTATATTTACAAATTGTTAAAGAGCTTCTTTAGTCTAAATGATAAGTAACTAACATCAAATTATTACATGATTACTATAAGAAAATTACTTAATTTTATTATATACTTGGTCCCTTTTCAAAATGGGCTTAGCAAAAACTCCGATTTCTTTTAGAATAGCATAGGAAGTGTCTTTGTTACTTTGCTTATTTAATTGTTTATTTACGTTTATTGTTTGTACGCATATTATAAAGATGTCATCGACAGCCCTTAGCAGAGCACGTCTCGGTATTTACTTCCTTACCGGGCGACAGGAAGCGGCGGCGGACGCGACGAAAGCTCTCGCAAGCTCTATACATAATTTATATTGTTATTGCGTGTACAGTTACTGTTCGACTACCCATAGAGGCCTCAAATGTAATCAATTTAGACACTATTCGCTTACGAAGTGTGTGATTGTCCGCAGATATAGAAAATACGTATCTGCAAAAAATCGTAAATTTTATAGCCGCAAACATCCTAAAAATTACGTACATTTTTGGACAGTATAATTGTTAACTCTAATCAGAAAAATGAATCGTAACAAATATATAAATTTAAGAGAGATTACTTTTAATGAACGAAGCTATTACAGAACAGGGCTACTGGGTAAATAACAAACCATAAACTTAGATAAAGTGCGTAAAACATTGCTCTATGATAGCTGTCAGCGACCGCCATCTTGAAATTTGAACAACAAAATATCGTTGACATCTATAAAAACGTCATAAAGTCAACTAATTATCTGCCATGTGTCGTGCCCCATGTATTTACGAATCATTTCCTGGCTCCCAAGGGATAGTCGGGATCCCGAATGCTAATTACCATGCACACGAGCCTGTCGAAAGTCGACGGTCGTTAAAAAACTCATAAAGTTATAACCGTGATGAGCTATAACCAGCTATAACGGAATTAACTCACCGCTTTACGATCTGTCGAACTACCCTCGTTACCGGAGAGACGGAACAAATTTGGTGTTTAATTTTATGATCATACTATTCGCAGGCGTCAACTTTCTCTTATTATTGACACATTCTCATCTTGTACCACAATGTGTTAAAATAACTTTATTTTACAACAGAAAGTAAAATACATTGAGAAAAAAAATTGACATCTAAATGACTATCGGTTACATTATCATCTGAGACAATACAGCGGCGGGTTGGCTTGGGCCTGGTCCAGTAAACTTCATCGGTTACATACCCGCATAAATACCAAAATTACTGCAAATGGTGTCGATCAATGTATACAACTGTTTTTAATAAACTCTACCACTTGAGGTCTATTCAAGAATATTTTTTTTAAATAATAAGTTAATAAAAACGATGTTACCTGCTCAATGAAACATAGATTGGTAATGTAGCCATCGCAAAAATCTGCAAAAAAAAATTTAGATTATTGTAAGAGACTAGATCTATGTAATACAGAGTCTAATTAAATATCGCATATTTCTACACACAAGGCTACCTATTCCAATTGTTAAATAATATAAGTTCACGGTAGTAAGTTAAGGTCACGTTGACAGGAAGCAATATCTATGGTCAACGCAGAGACAATGGGAAGATTCGATAAGCTTTTTTATTGTTCCCAGCGAGCTGCGACAATGGCGCGAAGTCTTTGTTAGATGGCGAACAAATCACCGAACATAATTGTCCATTTGTACAAAGTAAAGTCTTCCTAAATTCTAAATAGAAAAGCCTACCCTTACGACAGTTTGAAATGCAAATAACATCCATAATAAATTCAACGAGACAAGTGAGCACAAGTAAAATCTTACTGATATTTGAACCAAGTCGTCGTGTTTATAAGTCAGCTTGCGCTAAGCTATTAGTGTTAATTTCTTTATCTTCGCTACATTTTCTACCATAATTTAAATGTCAACGCTCCCATTAAAATAAACACGAACAATGCAACTATGAAAAATAGAACCCATTAGTGTTAGAGAATAGGGAACGTCACAATAACATTCCCTAGAGAAGGGGAATAAAATCAATATTTCTGATAGGTTTTAGAAACGCTGACGAATCTGCAAACTACCCCCGCCCTAAGACGCACCCCATGACTCACTTTAATAAACAAGGATTACTTTATATTTTGTTACTAGTAGACAGTTATTGCCTACTTAAAATCCACAGTACACAATTATGGGAAACTAGCTGTCGCGCGACTGCAACCGCGTGGTATTAAAAAAAACAAAAGTGAGTAGCCCATGTGTTCTTCCAGAGTATCCTCTACGTCTATGCCAAATTTCATCGAGATCCGTTCAGCCGTTTAGGCTACAAACTATAACAAACATCCATCCATCCATCTAAACTTTCGTATTTATAATATTAGTATAAAGTATGATTCTATTTAAATTTTTTATTTCTTCAGTTCTAATCTCTAAAACAGAGTTTACTAAATCAAACTACTATAAAACTAGTCCTATGCCATAACAAACAATTAAAAAAGTAAAAACTAAATTTTAAAATTTGTACTGACCTGAGTAAAGTTCACAGCTAATTAATAATTATAAGTTAATCATCCATGGCACTAGAACAGCAAATTCACTTCCAATTCAAAATTTTTAAAATAACGGATACAGAGTGAAATTTAAATTCAAGTCAGTCTTAAAAAAAAACGCAACCATAAAACACAAGAATACGCGCCAATTTTTTTGTTTTAACTTTTCAACGTCACACGTGCGCGCGCCGCGTCACTCATTTGTCTATGGACGAATATGGCTGCCGGTTTATTTTACTCGTTCATTATTATTGGTCTCAGCATGGGGCGAGTACTATAATTTGGGGTAACATGTGAATTATCCGATCCGCGCATGCGTGGTGGTCGCGTCGGTAAGCAATAAACGCTGTTACGTTTATAGAAATAGCGATTTCGCGTGGGGTAAACTCACTGCAGAGCAAGTACATCTCTAAAATAAAGAGAATAGAAACTTCGAGAATGAACAACAAGACACAGTAATTATCAATCTCGTTACTTCCTAATGAGGAACTGAATCAATTCCGTACATAAAATGAATTCATTGGTACCATATTTGGCTTCGAAATAAACTCACGACTGCGCATCTCTCTAAGTTTACGGTAACATAAAACAGTTATTCCGGCACGCGTCTTACTTCATATATTACAGCATTACATTTTTTAAATAAAAAGGGGCATGTAGAAGGCAACATGGCTGGAGTCCATAAGGGCTCGTCGCGCTCGGCGGAGCGCAAATCCTGTGACCTGCCTGCGCCGGCCACTTGCAGTTCGTAGACTTGTGATGGTACAAAAACTGATTGTCTTATGGAAGTATTATTGGTATAAAAAAGAACTAGTTGAAAACTAAGAGTACTGATTGGGGATATTTTTGCATGATTGTCATCTCTACAGACGTTTATATCCAACTGTTAAGTTTTTAAATTTTTTATGATTAAGAAATAAAGAACTTATTTTCTACTTACTTGAAGGTCGAAAACCCGTTGCATCGACCCTACTGGAGTAGGATAAGGCAGGGGAGATGATGATGACTTACTTTCTAAGATTCTGTGACAAAAAACTTCAAATAAGTTGTTGAAACCATCGTCTATCTTAGAATTGGACAAGTACTAGATTGATATTACCATTTGTAATTACGATCTTCTGAAACAGGCGCTTATAGGCTCTACAAGGCATGTAACTCCTATCAATGCTCGCACGCGCCAAACAAAAAGTTAACCCTTTAATGAAATTGTAAGAAAACTGCCTAGAAGTTCCAGAGCTTACATATGTAAATAGGGTGACCATAAGAAGAATAGAAACAAGGACATTATTTTTTCTTTTATTAGAATCTACTGCAGAAATAAGAAATCTTAAAATATCTTTCTCTTTTTCTGCAGTCTTTCTTATTTATGCAGTAGATTTGTAATTATTTTTACTACAAGTACTAAGTAATTCACGGATAGGAATGACATTCGCATATGTAAAAAGGATTTTTCCGAGAATATAAATAATTCATGGGTAACCTACAAATGTTCATCTTATCTAATGCATTTATTTTCCGCATTAGCCCTAACTAGTGGCACGGAGTGTGTCGGCGCTGGTTTGTAGGCACCAGTTTTTGTAGCCGAGTGCAGCGGCCACGCGCCCCATCATTACACATCGCTGGATTGACCGTTTTTCTTCTCGTAATTGTTTGTGTTAGACATTAATAATGCTTTTTACTAAGCCTATTGTTTGTAATCTCTCATATGTCACGAATGGTCACTTATTTGTACTCTTATTGCAGTATTTATAGTTCTTCAATCAGTTTAATAAGAAAACACTTCTATATTAGTCGACGATTTATTACGTTCGAATTAATAAGATAATGGTATAGAATTTCTGATAGTTTTCTATTAGAATTTGTATTTTTTTATGGTTCATTTTTACATATCTCTGGCTTCGATGCACACTCCCTGTTGAAACAAACACAGCCATCACGAGGGAGATCTGAAAAAGAACAGCTTGGTGTTATTATAATTCGTATATTTAGTTTTTCATAGAATCGGACACTTTATTTGAAGATTACATTGCTGATTTAGATGTTCGTTTAAGACTGGACTCGTGTTTCTTCAGCCATTATAATCTTTATCGACCTACCTTCCGTTAGATCATCGTTATAGTACAGCAGTATGTCTGGTACGTAGATATTCTCCGGCAACGCTACATCGCTGAAGCGATCTCTCTCGTCATACACCTTGTTCTGCTCGAGCGTGCGATGGTACTTGAGGGGTTTGCCGAGATGACGCCATGTGTACGAATGCATATGTGCATTGTGCGGCAAGTACCGCATCATTATCTGGTAGATAGTCTCCTCAGAGCACACCTCCAACATAACAGATGAACCTGACAATGATTTTAATGATTGCACAATACACATATATGAGTTGTTATGGCTAACATAAGTCGGTATTAATAGGCGCAACACTAAATTATCGGCATACACGTCCCATCCCTACATCTGTCAATGTCATTCAGTAGTATTGAAAAGCGCGCTATTCTGGCGAGATCAGTAGATTTGAGTATTAAAATTATTTACGCCGTTACAATTACATTAATATCAAAAATTATGTATTACGAAAGATGAGTAGTTCTTATTTCTGGTGAGTTTTAATATTTTGCAAGTAACCAACAAATAGTGTATCTACCCTAAGTTACTAATAGTTAAGGTACATTTCCACTGTAGAAAACAGTCATAAAATCTCACTTGTAAGTGTATTCGTGATTCTAATAGGTCTGGTCCTCGCTGTCAATTTTCCTACCACAATAGTCTCGTCTAGCCACCAAGGTTTGGCGATAGGCCTCCAGCGAGTGGAAGGCACCACAGGCTGGTCAAAACTCGAGCCGTGGCGCATGAACGGTATCCTGGAGCCGACTATCGGATGCATATATGTTATCCAGTCTTCCTCTTTGAACCAGTGGCTGACGTCTTTGCCGGCGTACGCAAGGATTGTCATAGCGAGCTACAAGTTATGAAAATAATTGATATATTCAAAGGGTCAATTTATATTTTATCTCAGACAAACGTCAATTAACGATAAGAATATCGCAATCTCATTGACTCTCTTTTATCTAGATTTTAATATAGTCACTATTGTCCTAAATTTGTAGTCGATTTAAAGTTATAGTACAATATTCGCTTAAGCTCGCTACACACGCTTATCTTAACGATCCGACTGTTTATATAAAATAGTGCGTGTCTAGCGGGCGTTATATTAACACAAGATCTTTAATAGATATCCTAGTTTACTTACTCTTTTCGCATCGCAGTACTCGTAGCCCATTTTGAAGCATCTACAATACTCAATACAGTCATCAGCGCAATACCAATTCTTGTTAGGACAGGAGCAGTCTTTGGGACACTTGCAGTATCGGAACTGTTTTTCCAGCCATGACGTCATGTTCAGCACCTTACCATTGAGAGACACCCAGCAGTCCCCAGACTTGTTGTGTATCGCGACCTCCGCCGGCGTGTAATATTCTTGTTTTGTATAAATCATTGTAAATCGTTCAAATATTTTTTCTAATAAATTGCAATAAAATTACCATTGACATTTTTCAATGTCTGTCAATCTGAAATTCGTTGTTGAAAAGAACATTTTTTATGATTTCTTAAATATTTTAAGTCAGTCCAATGTAAAAGCAGACAGTATTTTATTTTTTATTTTGGATTGGTTTGAAATTGGTAGCACTATCCGTATTCGCTCAGTAAGTGGGTTTTAAATGATTAAAAAACACGAATTAAAACAATTCTTTATATATTAGCAAATATAACTATGCCAATAATACACAGCATTATCTGATTACCAAATTCCATTCATTTCTTAGACAATTATTGTAAAAAACATACATTATTTTGCAACACTCAAAATAGCATTGCATGGCAGATATACAGATAAAAAAGCAATAGGACTCAGGGATACCAACATTAAAATTAACTATATATACCTTGTTTTCGCTCTATCAGATTTTTATACCCAAAAGTTTCTTTTCCTACATTTGATTTCAATTTGTTTACATTTCTATAATTTCGACTTTAACCTTAGACAACATTTTATTTTTCACAGTATTTATTTTGTAAATGGGTTTGAAAATAATTTAAATGAGATCGGTTTATTATGAATTTTCATGATATGTAAAAAATAATTGTTGGGAACTTTTTCGTTAATTCTAAATATTTCATTTCGATTGAGAAAAGTAATACAATAAAGATTTTAAGTAAACGTTGTTAGGTTGTTACCAAAGTCTTACAATGTACATATAAATTTTATGGAAACAGAGATTTTCATAACAGTGGTAAAAGCTTACAGTTGTGACCTTTTACAATGAACATTCCTAATTTATATAAAAAGTGTACAGGGCGAAATATCAATTAAATCAAAAACACAGACACATACTTCAAATAGATGAAGAAGTAAGCAATAGTAAACAATTATTACTCAGTCCATAATTTTTACAACTGGCAACCCTATACAAAAATTCAAATGTCAACTTGACAGTTGAGATTGTAGAATATTCCTGGAAATAATTATTGAATAAGTAGAACATCTTACACGAAGTTGTGTTAACTCAACTAAAATTACCTTCAGATCAGCTCACAGTGCATGAAGCAGATCATAGAACCAACTCAAGATTAGCTCAAGTACCTACATAGAGGCGCATTGAACAGTTTGAGGCTCATTGACTCCCATATTTACGTCCCATGAGCTGAGCTGGTATTTTAGTTGAGCGATAGCTCAACTGTTTGAGATGTGAGCTGATCGGTTAAATCAGTTCATAGTTAAACACAAGTGTAGATGTGCTGATGTCATGAGTCGTGATGCGGCACTTGCGAGAGGTGTTTGACGATATCAACCCAGTCCCATCCACGCGGCCGCTCGCCCGCGCGCCCCGCCTCCGCCCGGTCCCACGCACGACGCTTCTGAGCTTTTGTTAACTGCTCCTTCTTTTCTGGTTTCTTTGATTCACTCTTAAATAGAATAATTAAGATTTTGTATAATTATGTCACAATATATAAGCAAACCAATGTATTGTCAAATAAAAAGGACTCAAGACAACTTGAAAATTACTTCAATTCATGTGGATGCCAGGAAGTTAAAATCTTTAAAAAAAATAAAGCTAATTTTAGAACAAGTTTTTCTGTAAAAGTACATATAGTACAAAAAGACATGTTAAAATAAGAAGGAATTATACCTGATCATCTATGGCTATCTTCTCGACCCTGGCCACCACAGCCTCCTCTGTCTGTTCGGCCAGGATCTCCGCAACTTTCTCTTTTAAGCATTCAAACAATGTGTATGTCATAGCACATCCTACCCACTGCTCCGCCTCACCATCCACTATTGCTAGAATTTTCTCCTTAACTGAAGGTAATCTGGAAAGGAATATTTAAAAAAAATAATTATAATGATAGTATGATTCCAACCGATTTCAATAATGTTAAATAAGATATTGGCTGCTGATTACTATAATAGCGAAAATAGAAATAGTTTTATAAATTGAATAGTCCTTTTTTAAATGATCCAATTATCAAAGTCCATAATAACTTTGTTTCAATTTATTTTTGGCTATATTCAGTTCACAATAATTTATTTACAGTAAAAAAATACTTACAAATGTTGATTATAGAAAATTTCTAAGTTGCATTTAGGTTTTTCTGTTGGATATGTTGGTCCCCATGTAATTTCCAATACAAAAGATTTGTCTCCTTCTATATACTGGAAACAATAAATGTATTAACTTACAACTACATTAGAATTTAACTTGTAGTGTTAAAGAAACTTGTAGATGAAGTCAAAATACCTTGTATTGATAAGTTGTGGCATCGACTTGTTTAAAATTCTCATCTCCTTCGTATATAGACTTGAGTACTTCAATTTCCTCTGCCTGCTGCTCTGCATCATCTGACATTTTGTTTACACCAAACTGAAGGAATGGTTAATACATAATTGGTTTAAAATTACAGGTGTAGGGCAAAATTGGAGTATAAGATATTAATTATGTCCTTATAACTGATAACTGAATTCTAAAATAAGAAAACCAATACAAATAGAACATTTTAAATTACTTGAAAAACATATGTTTCATAAATCTTTCTTAAAACTTACAGTTAAATGACACGACTACTTAACAGCACCTGTTTTATCTCTCGGAATGTGGTATTAAATTTGATATTTACATGCAAAATATATAGAGATACGAGGAAAACTACGAATGTAAGGTTATGTACGAATATTTGACAGATAAGTTAACAAATGAGGAGAAATAACAGCTGGCAATTCTATCAACTGTCAATCAGCTGATAGATGACAAATATATTTACTCGTTTAATTCTAGATTTTAATCAATATTTATTAATTTTTTCCGAAACAATTATTAATAGTTAATCAATCGATTTATTGCCATTTATCTCTTTCCCGTTTTCGCAATCGTAGTCGTAAACTTGCCAGTACCAGAGTGTTGTCAACGCTCTAGTAGTTGGTAACACTGACTTTCAATATGTTGACAAGAAAGATAAGAGCCCAAAATACGTTATATGAATTTCACGTTCCAACTTCAGTTACTTTGAAACTCGTGCTCTTATTTCATGTATAAAACTTAATGCTATAAAGTGAATAGGCCATATAAGGTATTTAACGAACATTTTAAAACATAACAATGAACATTCAAAAGTGTGAGTGTAAAGAAAATCGTCCACCCAACACTGGACGATGCTTCACCTGTTCGTCGAATTCGCAAAAAAAGGCTCCGGATAATTTTAAAGTTCCTAATTTACCTTCTTCTTCACGTCGTCCACAGACTGAAAAGATCAAAACCAATGAAGTTGCTAAACCTGAACTTAACAGAGACGTTAAGAAAAAGGTATGGACATTATCTGATTTCGATTTGGGAAAACCTCTCGGTAAAGGAAAATTCGGTAACGTGTACTTAGCTCGCGAGAAAGAGTCGCACTATGTCGTTGCCTTAAAAGTATTATTTAAAAGTCAAATAATGGATTCAGAAATAGAGCATCAAGTGCGCCGAGAAGTTGAGATCCAATGTCGGCTTCGTCATCCTAATATATTGCGAATGTATGGATATTTTCATGACGAAAAGAGAGTTTATTTCATTTTAGAGTATGCAAAATATGGGGCGCTTTATAAACTGTTGAAGGACCAAGAGAGATTTGATGAGAGAACTGCTGCTATCTGTGTGAGAGATTTGACCAGGGCTTTACTATACTGTCATACCAAGAAAGTTATTCATCGCGACATAAAACCTGAGAACTTACTTGTAGGGTCTAACTATGAGCTGAAAATAGCGGATTTTGGTTGGTCAGTACATTCACCTTCTTCAAGACGTATGACTCTTTGTGGTACACTAGATTATTTGTCACCTGAAATGATTGAAGGGAAGCCTCACAGTTATCCTGTTGATATTTGGAGTCTAGGTGTGTTATGCTATGAGCTGCTGGTAGGGTTGCCACCTTTTGATGCCAAAGATTCACATCAGACTTATAAAAAAATCAGATATGTTATAATTAAGTATCCTGATTTTGTTTCTGAGAAAGCGAAGGATCTAGTAGGTAAACTTCTTGTAATAAATCCAGATCAAAGACTGCCCTTGACTCAAGTTTTGAAGCATCCCTGGATATTAGAGAATGCTCCAGAAGGTGCCAAACCAGTATTTAGTAAATTGGAACAAAAATAGCTTTAATTATTATTTTTGCAAAGTAAAGTCATATCTTACTTTGTTATTTTTGTATTATAAACTTTTTTACATTATTTTAAAGTATCTTTTTGACATAGTAGGAAATAGTAATTATTTTTTGAAAAAGAGTGAAAAACTGTAATTAAACATTTTAATAATAATTATTTAAAAAAATATACCTTAAATAATTAGATTTTTAAATTAGACTGATAACAATTTCCCAAATAAAAATGGTAGAAATCATAAATTATTTTAAAGAAGTGTATGGGCTGACTATATTCTAAGTAGTGGTGCTTGTTTGAAAATGTAAAAAGCAATAGCTTTATTAAATTCTCATATTATAGGATATCCTTTATGTAGAGGAAACAATAATTAAAACAACAAATAATACAAGGTTAATTTAATAAGGTTTTGGTAAGATGAGACTAAATTGTATCATGCTTGTTATGGTAAAGTTAGCATGAATATAGGCATGTTATAGTTTATAATTGACTTAAAATAATGGGATTCATGGGCATTTATTAAATTAAGATAATTAGTCTGGTGTTTGCATCTAAGTTCACACTGCTGTAACATTGACATAAAACATTTAAACTCTAGAAGAGACAGCGTTTTAATTATGTTAATTTTTAGTACTATGCAAGGTTATATTCACCAAAAAGCTGCCTTGTACTTACTAGTAAATTTTAGTGATTTATGATTTTAATGTATGTTGTTTATTTAAGTAAATTAAGTAACTACAAATATCCTGGTACTTCCAGTAACACATTATATAAAAAAAATTACGACATAACCTTACTAATATTATAAATGCGAAAGTTTGGATGGATGGATGTTAGGGTTTGGAGCCTAAACTTCTGAACAGATCTCATTGACATTTGGCATTTAGTAGATGATAGTCTGGAAGAACGCACAGGCTACTTGCTTTTTTTTTATTTTATTTGCAGATGAATTAAGTTGCGTGCGAAAGCTAGTAAGATTGTAAATTATAATTCACTGACTTCAATAAGTTTTTGAGATCACTTTATTTTAAATGTAAGTAGCTGGAACTACTAGCATTATCAACGAAAAAAGTCATGTGCTCGGGTCATTAGCGAGAATTTTTTTTTATGTCAAACTCCACCACAAATGCCTTACGATTGTAACTAAACTAAAATTCTTTTCTCCACCAATCATATCTTTGTAGTAAATCTCTTCTTGTTGCTTTTCTCAAGCAATTGTAAATAATTTATTGCATGTCTAAAAACCTGTATTTTATTGTAATGACTGATTTAGATTATGGAATATTTTTCTTTTATTGACTGATGCATATTTTCTCCTTTACGTAATAACAGTCTTGTAATATAAGTATCGTGTTCTAAAGTAACAAAAATTTATGACGTAAGTTATAATGAGATAATAATGTAGCGTAAATAAACTATTCGTATTATTTAATGCTTTTTATTTTTGTTTACATAATACAGATCTACGGCATACTTGTCGAAAAGTGGATCTTTCTTAACAATATATTGCCAATGCATTAGTTCACTTATAAGTACTAAAAAACTTATAAAGTAACCGATAGCCAATGCTATAAAAGCTCCATGGAGTTTCTTCAAATTCATTAAAGCTTTAATTTCTTCCTCATTTGTATCCAACTTCTTAATTTTGTACATGGCGTCGTTTGACCATTTTTCCAAAAGACCAACTTCGACTATTCTTCGCAAGTAAATGTCTGCTAATGGTTTTAAAGGTGAGTTTTTATGGAATCCTATTGAAACAGGAATATTGACCATACAATCAGACATGATGTGTAAATTCCTTTCAGTACTTGTGTTGCCAAACCATGTATCATTACTTAACGATGCATTGGTCCTGTCTATATTAATTTTATTCTTCCTTTTAACCCTCAAGTATTTCAAATAGTTTTTGTTGTCGTAGAAAGCGAAGTCTCCACGAACTACTCTTTTCGCAGCTGCATCCGGGTCATCGATTGTTTCGTATCTTTCACCGATTTTCTGACCGATATCGTCTAGTGATTCAACGAAGAACCGTTTAGTCTCTTGTCCCCATCCGCCGCATGTTATTTTACTGTCTACTAGTTCTTTTAAAGTGTCTATGGTTACTCTAGGCGTGGGGTTGGCTAAGATTGCGGTCATGCTCGCTTTGTATGAGACTACCAGGAGTATACAATAGAGCCAGTACCAGCCAGTGAGTAAGCGAATCGACCAACCGGATGGTAACTTGGGCAAAGACACGACCAGCAACATTCCATACGTGTAGAGAATACTGTTCGTTATTTCACCGAACAAATACAAACCGCCGGGTCGTGTATCTGAAATATGCACACGCCTGCCGTATTTACATATGTAACTAGCACATTTAATTTTAGTTGTTTTGCAGTCAGTTGAGGTCAAAATGAAAGGTTATGTGCGTTCATGCGCAAAGTGCAATTTTTTTGTTTACCAAGAAACTTGTTTGGACTGCTTTGAAAAGGAAAAAAAATCAACTTTGTATCCTTTTTCTTCTTAGATAATTGCTTACATTACACAATACATTTTATTTACATTAATTAATATTAACCTGAAGTAAGGGCTTTCTTCATCTCTGTAGATCTGCTCTTCGCAGATTCTTCTCTGAAATCCATCAAGTGTATGTAATATTTAGCTAAGCCAAAGAAAATAGAACCTGTTACTAAAAGAACCATTAGAACAGCGATCCACATGTACAACCTGTAAAGTAAATAAGAAAATGTACCTTTGTAATATTTAACTATTAAAAAAAGAGATTAATTGAGGCATCCATTCATAACAATTTCGAGCGAAAGGGGAATCTTACTTGAACGGTAGTATTAACGTTTTCCAAGAGTTGTCAGATATAGCTTCAGGAGTTAAGAAAGTCCAGCATTGTGAGGTGTAAGGTATACTGAGGTCGGTCATTTCGTGATAAAGTGTGGTGTACTGCAGGTTGCCCACTGCGATATCAGCTTGGCCCGTCACTAGTTCTCCGAGCAGACCGGAGTATGAACCGTTTGGGAGTTTTTCACCCCATTTGCTGTGATCAGCGTCAGCAGCTTGATATAGTTTGGGTTTGAAGTTCATTTTTGACGCCATCGTGTTTAGTATCTGTAAGAAAAACGTAACTTCTTTACGTGCCTTCGGAAAAATAAATGTTTATGTTTTAAACTCACCTCAATTTCAATTCCTCCTATAATTTTGGTGTCATTTGAATTAGTGCTCAAAACAGAAGGTACGTGTTCCAAGTAAGCAACGTTTAGAGTTTCTCCGTTTAGGTTTTTTGTTTTGTCCGCAAACAAATCCCTATTGTAATGGAATTTTCCATTTCTCCATATCTCTATTCTTCTTGTTATCAAAACTTCTCTGATAGTATTGGGAAAGGGAACGGTGGAAAGGTCGAACCAGATTTTATTCTGTGGCGTGTTGTGATGCCGCAGGAATACCACGTTTACCATGCGTTTCCAAATGTATTGCAAGTTGCTTTTAAATAATCTGATGTCGTGTAGCATTATATATTTCGCTCTTGTATTCAAGAGACGGTACCTGGGAATAAGATAATTTTGAACGTTCCTCAAAGTACAAAGTCTATAGAAAGGGGCAGACTGGCTTAATGTCAATTGGACTTAGGTCCGTGGATTTTTGCCACAATTAGAGGTACTGCAGGTGCCGGCCAGCTGCTTACGGAGAATATTTGCTGCGGTCACCAGTATTATGTCAAAGATTTTTGTTATCAATTACCTGTC